CGAAGACATTGAAGAGCAGGGCAACCTAGGCATTCACCACAATGAAAAGCTATGATCGCCTGTTTAAATGAGACACGCCCAGAACAGGCACGTTTTGGTGACGCCGCAAAAGTTATTGATTTTTGCCTCGGAAGTCATCGATATACAGTTTTGGAACCCAAGTGAGAAACTTCAAATGAGTTCGTGTCGGGGCCAAAAGGAATTTCTGGTTTTCTTAATTTAGCCAGCACTTGTGCTACTCATTTTCTGCCGTATTTCTTGTTTTCAGGCCAAAAGACTTCGATCGGACATTCTGGGCTGTGAATAATGTGCTGCCCCCCGCAACAAGCGGCTGAGAAAAGAGTAGTGAAATTGAAGTCTGCAAAAGAGACCAAGCAGATTGGAGGAAATGGAACATCCCGACCAGAAGTGACGGTAGCGGCATGCCGAGCCAGAAGAACAAGGACAGACGAGATATGAGAATATCTAACACCTGATGGTTTAGGAAAGACTTGCGAATGATCAAGAAAAAAGTCTTGGGGAAGGGCAAAGAAAATTAACGGAGAAGGAAGTAAAGCAAGAGACGCTAAGCTATTCCTAAAAATCGCGGGGTGCAGATGACAGACTATGTACATGGCCCTGGTTTGGGAAAGGGCGTATAACCTCCGGAACACAGACCAGCCGGACTCTGGGCCCAAAGGCTATATTGGAGGGAGAAATGTCTTGGCATCTTGGTGGGCGGAATCAAGAAAGAAATGGCTTGGGACTTTCGAGCAGACGCAAAAGGGCAGCGCAAAGAAAGGGGGGAATTTTCCACCCCCAAGAGAATCTGCCTAGGACTGCCACAATGGGAATCGCCCTACTTCATGATTATCTGACTTTTTCAACGGTCGAGATCGACATAGATCAGTTCCTTTCCCCAAGAGCGTCAAATAGAGGAGGGTTACACCAGATCGTGGTCATGACAGCACCGACGAGATGGATCTAAACGTGTTTGAGTGGTAAGCTCTGAAAGCCATGTCGTGGAGCTTGGGATCCCGGGATCATGATTGTGGAACTGGCCGTTTGTTGTTGAAGGTCATCAATCAAAGCAATGTTCGTCACCATAATCAGTCTTGCGGATGGAGAAGCTACTAATACGGAGATTAATTCACGTCCGACGGGCCCGAGCATCCGTATATCCGTACATCCGAGCTCCCGAGCTGCTCCGCGGCCTTAGGAGATTACTTTTGAAGAAAGTGCGACGCGGATTAGCCACATTCATCCTAAAGCAACTGGTGCCTTGACGCTGCACAGTTATAGTGTCTAAGCGCAACTTAAGTGAGCATTAGTCAGGACGACCATTTCCCGAACTGTCTTCCTTTCCATGATAGGCTGCTGCACCGCGGTAACGGAGCTATCCGAGCCTCTAGATTACTGTGGAGAGGCGAGCGTTTAGCGGCAAGGTCGCACAACCCCTTCAAACAGGCCTCACCATCTCACGTCGACATCATGACTTGACCAGATCTTCCACCCTTTCCTCCGACATTCCGATGCTTCACTCAATGTCAATTGCATTAACATTCTTTATTCTACTTTTGTTGATGCGATGCCATCGAGGAGGAGTTCGCCCTCGTTGTATCTCGCTGGAATGTATTTTCATCCCGCATATTCCCTTCATCATATACTAAATTTATCTGTCCTTCTTTGTTCGAGATCTATGTTTCCCTATTCTTTCTTTGCTCTTTCTCATCCTTTCCCTTGTTTTACAGTGATGAAATGGGTCGAAAAGAATTTTTTTTGAAGCAGACTTCCTGGTCTTACCGCTCTTCGCATTAGCCATTGCAAATTGAACAATTTCAATCATTCCTTTTGCGCACTCTCGCCCAGGGTGGCCTCCACCAAATGATAGGTCAGCCAATGCCACATCGAAAAGCCCTGTTAGGGCGGATGTGGATTTGCATGTCTTGGCTTAGATTGATAGGCCGCGGGCACCAAGTCTCTTAAGTGTATTGGCCCAGCCTTGATTGGGCTTTAGTTGGCCGAAGGGCGGCACGGCGCCCTCGGGGCCCTGGCCAAATCCGAAGCTGCTGATCCTGATAATTTGCCGTGATATCGCGACAGATCGTTCAAAATTTCGGCAAGTTTCTTCGGATCAATCATTTCTGTGCAGACAATTCATTGCTCGTAGACATACACTTACCAACTGCAGAGCATGGAGCGTTGCCAACCCAAAGTAGCCTATCTTGGACAGGTTTCAACGGTCTGTTGGGTTAAGGGAATGGAATCCGTCGCCGTGGTTCTCGATGCTCAATCCATGCTCGGATCATCAAGCTGCCCTTCATGATCGGACGCTAATTACGTGGGTACGTACTGTCAACAACCACACCGAGACCCTCAACGTGAGCTACTTTTTCGCTTGCCTTTCTTCGTCAGAGTGTCTTGACCAATCTCGACATTTGATATAGTCAGACTCAGTTCACTGGTTAAATTTCGTGCTATTTGCTGTCGTCACTACAGTCGAAATACAATTGACTTGCGGCGGAGGTTGAATTAGATCCTGGGAAAGAAGGTACATTGCCAAAAGCTTGACCTACAGCAGCGACGATCGTCGCGAGGGTCCTCATATACCTGATGATTGGAGTTCCCTCAACTGAATCCCGAGCTATCTTGCTTGCGGCCTGCCTCCCACATACCCTTCCCCTACCAGTTGCTCGGAGACTATTTGTCTCACGAGCCTGTACGCAATAATGAATCGTCTTATATTTCAAAGTCACATTGAAACTTCGACTCGCCATTTTCGTAAGGCGCAACCCATTTGTAATCGGTAAATGCATGAAAAAGTCGTCCGTAGGCCACGCGTAAGAGGCGCCAGCAACGCAAAAGATAGTCGATAAGCAAGTATTTCCCAAGCAGCGATAAAGATGGTAGGTTGCCCGGTGGTTTCCAGACACAACCTTACTGTAAAGCTTAGCCAAGCGCTTCGATTGCCATGTGCATCCAAAATTTCTATTCTAACTACGCCGTGGTTATAGAGCACGGTGCCGAGGTAAGCAGCTGTTGACCAATATGGCCCGAGACGACATCATGGTAGAACTCCTTCGGTCGAAGCATTCATGATAATTTTCCGGGAAGTCTAGATCATACTCCCTCTGAACAAGGAATCCGATGCTCTTCCTTCCGAGACCCCGAGATTTCGGTGGGGGTTTTGCGGCACTAGGTGATCTGGCCCTCGAGTAGGCTCTACCCTTGGCGTGACAGTCTTAAGCAGGAATTTTGGTGTGCATCATTCAACCCCTTTTGTCCTAGTCAGAATAGTCAACAACCACTTCCGTTGATCTCGCGGCTAGGCTACGTCTCAGGTAAGGTCTTTCTCAAGATCTCTACTCCTGTTTCCAGCATATCAGAATCTTGAAGAGCGGCTTTTGACAAGACGGGGTGCTTATTCGCCAGAACATCCCCGTCCACAATGAAAATACTCGCCTGCATAGTACAGTTGTTACCAAAATCGACGTTGGAGAAATATTATGCCGCCGACGTAATCGTTGTGTCCAAAGACTTTGTGGAAATAACCGTGCAAACAGTCATGTGGGTTGGATGCAATGCAAGCCACTAGTAGTCTAATCCGGGGGCCAGTGAATTTGCACAGGGGGTCTACAATCCGATTGCCGTCAACATCCATCACCCCGCAGCTTAGACCCTGCAGAATGTCCGTGAGACAGAACGGCGAGACAGCATTGCGCCATTCCCAATATACTGACCCTATCTGTAAGTAGCCGCAGTTATGAGCCGTCCCCCAAGCCGGTATCCGCGGTCCCCTTTTGGACTGCCTAGCCAACGATGCGTTTCCAATGTACATCTTCCCAACTTCAGCACTGAACTGCACAGGACAATTCCCACTGAGGCATGGAGATGTAAGCGAGAGCCCTGAAGGGCTGCGTCAGTCTGTCCTCTTCTAGTCTTTGCCATTGAAAATACTGAACCCCGGCCTGTAAAATCCCGTGTAACCATGCCTCGAGCGGCGTGCAAGCGGTCGAGACCCGTCCCTAGTTCAAACCCATCTGATATTGCTAGCTAGGGTCGCGGAAGAGACTAATGTGAGGTATGAAGCCACATTTGTTTGCGTTAATTGATATTAAGTGCCGAGGAAAGAAGCCCGGAGCCTTGAGCTTGTGTGCCTTAACGCAAGACAGCACGCAAGAAACGGGAGTTAGAAAAGTAGCGTTAAATCTTGGATTTCACTGCTTCTGACCTAAGCCACGACTTGCAGCAAAACAGTTTCCATCATCGCGTGCACCCTCGTGGTGATAGTGTACCTTGACTCCAGATTTCAATCTCCGCATTTCGACAAGACCACACAGCCACCATCCCCATATAGATCTGCCCTAATATAGTCGCCCATCCGTTGACACACGAGTCGGATCCGGCGAAAACCACCTTGGACCCAAACTGGCGTCGTGATCAGGAACCGTTTGTGTACTTAAACTGGATCTCGTCCCTGCTACGAGGGCGTTCCTTTTGCGTGGACAAAGAAGTGTTGCAAGTGTTGAGAGAAGTGCCCCTGTCTGGCTATTCAGCAATCGAATCTGCGTCCAATACAAAGAGACTGAGACATAACCAGCGTGAGAATACTAATCAAGAGACCGCTTGGTTCACTCGGATGCTTGCCAGATATCAAGCTTCCTCTTGCCGAGATAACTCATTCAATCAAATGCACCTGGCTGCAGCACGGGTATCCGCAAGACTTCGTTTCAAGGCTGTTCCATCTAGTCGGTATGCTTCATTCCAGCGCATTGCCTTTCTTTCCTCTATAGGAGGCCCACTGCTGGATCTAATATGGAAGCTCAGATGAACCATCCAGATAACTCTTATCTTTTTTCTCGCATCAGTCGAATTCTTTCTAGAATTCTGTAGAGCCTAGAATATCAACCTGCGAGGAATCTCAGCCGTCAATTCCAACAAGTCTCAGACAGCTCGAAACAATACCGACGGGACTAGAGCATTCCGACTGCTCTTGTCTAGCCCTGGACGTCAATTCAAGTGATCTCCACAAAGACAGAGATCTTGCCAGAGTCTTGTTCCATCTCAATAGATTCCTTTTAGCGGTTCCAGGTGCATCTCTACAGAGGGGACCGTCACTTGGGTATTGTTTCCCTCATCAGTTTAGTCGCCAAACATCGTCGCAACCTTCGTTTTTATCCAGTGTTGAACGATCTTCCAAGCAACTATGATAAAACGGCGCCCCGTATCTCCTTCATCCTCGAACAATGGCGGGGTCCATTATAGTCTGCAGCCAGCTCTGAATCAGAACAGAGACATCGTGCATCCCCACGAATACTGTATCATCGATGGAAGTTATCCTGGCCCGTATAGGTTACAGTATAGGCCTGAGCTGCGACCAGCAGAACAGGATTCTACTCAGTTCGCGAATATGCGAGACGTAAATGATGTCGGACTTGGTATCCGAATGGGAAGATTTGGCGATGCAAAATCCGCTGGCCCCATGATTGGAGGCTCTCATGAAGAAAATTGGCCCGGAAATGATGCAATGATAAAGGAGTATCGGCTTGGACATAACGAAGGATTATCAACTGCAGCTGTGGACCCTCAAAGTGTAAGCTTCATCTTGCCAAAAGAGCTTCTGCCATAGACTGACTCCAGAAAACCCAGTATCTGCACCACGCTTTTAACATATACAATCCACCGACTCCGGAGTCTCTGGCCCAAAGTCAGGGTGGCAGCCAAATTCTCAGCGGTCGATCGATGGCTTCTTCTGAGTCGCCACCCATGACTACGGCCGTGGCAGATTCTCATTTCCGACCGTCCAAGTCACCCAGACCAAAGAAAATCACGAAACAAGGAAAAGCCGATAAAGCTAAAATTCCAAAGATCAATGCACCTTTGAGCGTTCTGACCAAAGATTTTGAGGATATACCAATTCGTGATATGAGGGAATGGGTTAATAGATCGATTGAGACAAGACACAAAGAGGTAGAGAAGCGCAACGGATACATCGCTCGGCCTATGAATTCTTTCATGCTCTATAGGTCGGCTTTTGCAGAAAGAACGAAGCAATGGTGCCTTCAGAACAATCACCAGGTCGTCTCTTCCGTTTCGGGTGAAAGTTGGCCTCTTGAACCTCCCGAGGTTCGCGATGAATACAATGAATATGCAAAAGTGGAGCGCATCAACCATCAGAATGCACACCCAGGTTACAAATTTTCTCCAAGCAAAGCACAAACAAACGCTCGCAAGCGAAAACCTACTCCAGATGATGAAGATGAAGAGATGTGCAATGTCGAAGATGCTGATTTTGATTGGGTGCCGCAAAACCAGCGAAAAACAAGACTGAGATCCAACAAACGTCAAGGTAGAGGAACGAGCTCAAAGCCCGGGGACTTGGAAGACGCAGCCACAGACATTGCACCGCCTTCCGCTCACATTGTCGTGAATAAATCATCATATCAGGCAACAAACCCTGGAAAACCGCCACCTGCTGCAATGGGAACGGACCTCAACGGTCATTATTATCAAACGACCGTACACCAACACGCAAACGTGCCAAATGTTGAGGATGTAAAGATCCGGAAAACTGAAAGGCCAGCAATGCAATACAATGGCTCTGGGTCTCTCATTAGCCTGCCTGGTGCCGAGCACTATGATCTACTTCAACCAGCATCCCAACAGAGCAGCCCCGCTGCTTCAGGCATATGTCAAGTGGACCCGCTTCTTCTTGCGTATGATAGCAACTATGGCTCAAGTAGCAGTAGTCAGCCAGAAGAGACGATGGCAGCGACAATCTACCAATTGCCAGGCCAACCGACAACGTTCAACCCAGGATTTGTACCCTCTCACCGTGAAATTGATCATGCGGGCTACGGCCCCTTTCCAGATGGTGGTTTTCAAACTCTTGAGTGTCATGGGCTGCCTTTCTATCATAGCGAGATCTCGCCTTTCGCAGACCCTCAAGAGCTTTGGAGGGTGGAATCAGATCTTTACCACGCGGATTGTGTATCTGAATTCAATAAGTGGGTCGACTGAACAGATGAGAAAGCTGCGTTTCAGCATCAATGATTGTACAGTATGAGACACTTCATACGCAAGGCTCGATCAAAGCAGGAGTACGGAATATATCTTGGTAAAAGAGAGCGTGCTGGTGGGAGGCTTGGTGCTATTTTGAAATGCGATGTCAGTTAGGCTTTTTTTTTTTCATGAATGTGCTGGGGGCGTTGTGGAACGGAAAGGAAATGTAAGAAATGTTTTATCAGGCGGCTACCTGTTTCCAGGATAGACAACTAAACGTTTTTGGCTCTTGGCTCTCTGTTAGTTCTTAATCCCTGCTTGGGCATGACTTTCTAGATATCATAATCTCAATTCGATTCGTATACCTCTGTGATAGTTCGAATCTTCAAGAATCCAAGGTGAGCCAAGCATGCAGCATGCTCACAATTTGACTGGGCCATGCTGTTCAAAACAGGAGTTTGTTCCTTGCGATGGACAAGCAATGGAGTAGATTGTAAGGAGATCATGATGTGCTGACTTAGGGCTGGGTTGAAGTCTCTTTTGTTACTTGTCGATTTAGTCTGAGAGCTCGATGAGAAGAGCGTAACACGTGGCTGGTTAAGGTACATTTTGAAATGTTGCACAATCAGGAAATACGTGTGCGACATACTATTTATTCACGTAGATAGCAGTTCTAGTGATCTAGAGATACACTGTTTCTTGATGATCACTCAAATATCAAGATCTATACGTCTACTAGGAAAAGGTCAAAACCGACCTCTTCGATATAACTAAATGTTCATTTGCCAACGCGAACCAAGTTCTCGCCAGGGATGAGGAGGCTATCCCGGATTAGGATTAGCCACATACACCCCGCGGCGCGTGGCTCCACGTCTCGAACAGGAAATCCCACATGCGAATTGCAGCTCAGTTTCTATATTCATACAGTATCTTCAATCGAAACGATTTTCTTTGTGTTTTTGGGAAGCGGGCAGCTGTTGAAGGAAATCTCAAACTCCATGTACGGCGAGCTAGGAAATAAATTGGTAAATCGTATCCTCGTTTCTCAAAAGGCCTGGCCCTGAAGCTGTAAACTAGGTTCAACATGCAAAACGGACCCAATCTCTCGCCCATCTTCCTCCGTATCAGACTGAATTTGTCCGTGCCGTGACTAGAGAAGTGCGGGATCTCGACAAAGATGCCTCAGTAACACTCAGTCAACTCGGTACTGGATTCACTCCTTCTGCCGACCCTGCGACTGCGTGTGCTCTCTTGGTGAATCATCTTTCTATGCGACGGAATAAACGTTGTCTGCTGGCATATCACCGTGTTCGATCAAATAAGCTGGAAGAGATGTGCTGGAACGGTATGGACATTCTTGAGCAGCAGCAGCAATCGCAACAAAATCGCGGAGGAAATAATCATGGAAGTGCGGAGACTACCCTTTTGGCTGGCGAGTCAGCCGGTGTGAATTCGCTGAGTCCAGAAGAGGAAGAATTCGTAAGGCAATACAGCGATCTTCTCGCTGCATACAAAGGACAGTGGACAGACATTGACCTGACTGGGAGCCTGGAGCCGCCCCGTGATTTATTTATTGATGTCAGGGTGCTCAAAGATGCTGGTGAGATACAGACCGAGTATGGGTAAGATCACTGTTCGCTGCCATTTGGAGGTTAAGAAATTTACTAAGTATTTGGCAGCTCTATAAATTTGACGAAAAACAGCCAATTTTTCGTTAAACAGGGCGATGTGGAACGTTTAATCGCACAGGGTTTCTTGCAGCGCCTGAGCTGAGACCTGGCTTGCCTAAACGGGATGATTTGGCGTTCATAGGGTTTTCACATTCATATACCACGCATAAACGCATTCTTTTTCAGGGACGTCATGTTTGTCTCATTACCGATCGCGTATAATGACTCTACGGAGTTAAATTTGGAGGGAATTTGATAGAAAATGAAACAGAGCGAGTTGAATATGCTGGGTAAAAATGGAGCAATGATGAATTGAATTGAATTGCAGAATTGCTCAAGATGCAGGAACCTCTTCTTCGGACGTGACGTTCGTCGTAATCGAGGCTTCAAGTTCAAGAGCAAAGTAGGTGCCAATGTGACAGGCAGAACCACACAGACAGGGACTTCGTGCTACGTGCTTGCGCATGAAGAGATGCAGGAGAAAGGAAGGAAAAAGCTGATTTCCAAGAAATGCGCTGTACATGTACAACACCGCGAATCATCAAAGTAGCTGCTGACCCCGCATGAGCGGAGGTCGAGAGCTCATTTTACATCATTCACGAGGAGGACACCTGGCACCCTATATTGTAGAGTTCGTTTTCGCGAAAGAAAGAAGAAAGAACATCGCAGTATCACAGAAAAGATTCAGCCAAGGTAAACGCATATTGGCCGCTGGCGATACCTGAGATACTGTTACAAAAACAATTATCATGCGCGTTATCAACCAACGGTTCGCTAATGCAAGCCTTGTTCGCCTCCATGGCCCGACAGGCCCCGACCGACAGGGGGCCAAAAAGAAGGAAGAAAAATGATACCAGGATAGTGTGCAAGATCGCCCCACTGCTAAGGATAAAATTGATAGGATGCCTACGCCATTGAGTTCCTCCTCCAAGAGGTTCCAATTCTTGCTTTTCGACCTCGCAGGACAAGGAAAGTTGGGAGCTGTCTTTCGGTCACTTGGTCGCTCTTCACCAAGGAGCGCAGAGCAGTTCTACTAAAGGTTTCCTGGACCGTGCCGTTCCCTTATCTCTTGCCTCGCTTGTGCTTCTTTCGAACTTGGCCTAAGCGGGCTTCCCGAGCTTTCTCCAGGCGGTCTGTTATTGCAATTGCGTATCCGCTTAGCTTGTTATTCTATCTTGGCTGCACGAATTGCATCTACCACGGCAGCAGAAGAGCTGTGGTTCGCAGCACGGGATGCCTGGCTCTCCCAATGAGTCCAGCGGCTCATCACAGCCATTCTCCCGTCACCGGTCGATCGCTATCCCAGAGGAAGCTACACTTCCCTCGATCCCTTCGCACACCAATCAACCACTTGTCGAAACGCAACATGGCACACTTTTGCCTTCGTCATTCAATCAGAGAACTCCCACTCGATCCTTTTTCCACCGTTCCTATCATGTTGCTGCCGGTTTGTGGATATGGCCCTATCCAATGTTTCGAAAGCATATCACTAATGGTCGACCTTTCATTAGATGTCCCGCCTCATTCGCCGTTAGCTGTGCGAGAGCAGACAGCGGAATTAGCATCGTGGGCTCTGTCCGACGCTGCTTCAATGCAGAGTGGAAGCTCTCCGCCTCATCATTTTATGGATGAGGAGGCTGGGTCACAAACCTCCGATATCAACACTGGGCATGCTAGTAATTCGGAAGACGGAATCTTAACCCCGCGAGCCTCTAATGGACCTTCACAACCGGAGGTGGATGATCCGCCTTCAGAAACCGGTTCCCCGCGCAGCACGTCTTCTTCCACCCACAGAACCCCAAAAACTTCGTATCTCACAGAGATGCTCCGGAACTCCCCACCAGATTCAAAGCCCTCCCCACGCCGCGAGGATACCAAGGATCCTACTCCACCAGAGCGTAACGTACCCACAGTAGAAATCTCTCAAGAACCTGATCATGGAATTGGCGAGAACACACCCTTGTTATCAAAGAGGACGGATCCACAGTATCATGCCTCCAATTCTCAAAATCAAGCACAAGATATTGAGAGTTTGACATATTCAAAGCAATCAACCTGGAGTAAGCTCCAAACTTTTAGTAGCAGGTCAACGCATCGCGCTCGAGACTGTCTTCGAATGGCGACGAGTCCAAAGGTTTGGAACAAGGAAACCATTTGGCGAGGAGGGGTGCTTGAGGTTGGAAGCCGTCTACCCGCTGTGATTCTTGGTCTCCTGTACGTGGATCCCGATCTCAATTTCTCGCAGTCGCGTTTGCAAACCATTGACCTAATTTATTTATAACTTTAGGATGAACGTCTTGGACGCGCTGTCTTATGGTAAATACACATGTCTCTATTTCTTCTCGTCCGAACTTGCAAATTAACGTTACCCTACAATTAGGAATGATCCTCTTCCCTCTCGGAGAACCTATATTTGAGGACCTTGGTCCGGATGGTTTATCAATCTTCTACGTTAGCTGTATCGTCTCCCAGCTAGTGTACTCTTGTGGTGGAAGCATTTTCAAAGGCGGAATTGGCTCCGAAATGGTACGTTAACATTTGAGCGTTCCACATAGTCTTCTGACTTGTTATAGATTGAAGTTGTACCATTCTTTCATAAAATGGCATTCACCATCATGGCCCGAGTCGGAGAAGACGACCCGCACGCCGTCATTGCGACCACGATTCTGGCTTTCTCTGTGAGCTCCGTTCTCACGGGACTTGTATTCTTCCTCATGGGCGCATGCAGATTGGGAGCGCTGATTGGGTTTTTCCCGCGGCATATTCTTCTAGGTTGCATTGGAGGTGTCGGATGGTTTCTTGTGGCTACTGGGTTTGAGGTTTCCGGAAGACTCCCTGGCAGTCTGGAGTATAACCTACCAACTCTTAAGTTTCTTACACGCGCAAATACCATACCTCTTTGGGTAGTGCCTCTAGCTCTTGCAATCATTCTGATGGTTGCGCAGCGTTGGATTAAGAGCTCTCTGTTTGTGCCCATCTACTTTTTGGCCATCCCTGCAATATTCTACTTCTTTGTCGGGGTGATACCGTCGCTTCATTTGGAACCCCTAAGAGGAGCGGGTTGGATTTTCGAAATGCCTCGGGCTGGTGTACCTTTCTATCGTTTTTACACCCTTTTTGGTGAGTGGACACGGAGCTTCTCTGGTGGACATGTCTAACCTCCTCCATAGACTTCAGAGCAGTACATTGGGGTGCACTAGCTGAGACTATACCTGCCATGTTCGCCTTGACATTCTTTGGGGTCCTACATGTCCCCATCAACGTACCAGCCATGGGTATTTCGTCAGGAGAAGACAACGTAGATCTTGACCGAGAGCTAATTGCTCATGGAATATCTAATGCTCTCTCTGGCTGTGTTGGCAGTATCCAAGTATGTGTGCCTTTGACTAACTGTTCTCCCCCGTCCTCCCTCTTTCAAATCTCTTTTTTTGAGTGCCATTCATCAGTATACTGACTTGTCTCGAGAACTATCTCGCCTACACAAACAGTCTACTCTTTATGAAGACAGGTGGCGACAGCCGACTAGCTGGAATCCTGCTGGCTATTGGAACTTTTGGCATTATGGTCATCGGCCCGACCATCATTGGCTATATCCCGATCATGGTGGTCGGCGCCCTCATTTTCTTGCTTGGAATTGATCTAATGAAGGAGGCTTTGTATGATACGTGGGGACGAGTTCACCGATTAGAATATTTTACTGTAAGTGCTGCATGTTATCCTCTAACAAGGCTGTCTAACTTTGATAGATCGTGGTCATTGTTGTGACCATGGGTGTATGGGATTTCGTCATCGGCATCTTGATTGGAATCATACTGGCGTGTGTTAGCTTTGTTGTGCAGACCTCGCGCAAGTCAGCAATTCGGGCGTCTTATTCTGGCGAGATCGCTGTCTCAACCGTCCGTCGGCACGTTTTGCAACACCGTTTTTTGACGAAGGTCGGACAACAGACTCATGTCGTCAAACTAGCTGGGTACCTCTTTTTCGGCACCATTGTCAGCGTGGAAAATCGAGTCCGTGCGATGATTGACGAAAAGTCTTTCAACGAAAAGCCTATACGATTCTTAATATTTGATCTTCTTCATGTTTATGGCATTGATTTTTCGGCCGCCGAAGCATTTACTCGGATAAGCCGTCTTCTTCACACGAGAAATGTGAAGATGATTGTGAGTGGCGTTAGTCAGGACGGTGAGATGGGGAAAAGTCTGCGGAACGTAGGCCTTTGGGAGAAGGATGATGTTGAAATATTTGAGGACCTTAATTCTGCACTTGAATTCTGCGAGAATGAGCAGCTCAAGGCATTCTACCACAAGAGGGATGATCTAGCTCGAAAGCATGGCCGCACGAACGTTCTGAGTACGGTTTTCAATGTCCAGCTGATTTATAGCCTGCAACAGCTAATCGCATATAGACGTACCAAGGCAGCCTTCCCTATCTTTCTCATATGACACCACCTTCAGCTCTCCAAGACGACAGCATTTACAGCAGGCTGCGACCACAACGCTTAACGATCTTGACGCTCAGGCTCCTGCAAAATGGCAAAATTTCAAGCAGCCTTTACCGTTGATTCTCCAGACCTTCCAAGACTTGACCGAGAAGAATGAAGATTTTTGGTTCAGAATCTGCCCCTACTTTGAAAAGATGCAGTATCCGGCTGGAACTATTCTCTATCAGCGCGGAGTAAGTTGTAACAAATTGCTGTCTAGTATGAGAATCTACTAAGAATTTTGATCTATCAGGACGAGTCCAAGGGATTTTACCTACTGGAGGAAGGAATTTTGCGGGCCGACTACGATCTTCCGCAAGGGAAATATTATGAAAGTATCGTCGCTGGTACGACGTGCGGGGAGCTTCCATTCTTCTCTGAAACGAACAGGACTGCAACTGTGGTTGCCGAACGAGACTGTACCGCTTGGAGGTTAACAGTAGCCAAGTGGGAGGAGCTTCAAAGTAAACAGCCCGACGTCGCTCGTGAACTTTTAACCATAGGGTTGAAATTGACAAGCGAGAGGATGAGCGCAATTACATCGTACGTTATCCTGTTCTTTGGCCAGGCTGATTTGAGTGTCACTAACATATATAATAGTTATGTTCTTACGATGGCGAGTTAAAAATATATGCAGGCATGAATAGTTGATGTCCAGCAAATTTTCTTTCTGGAAAATGTGTGTATAATACATGATGATAAATCTCTTTGACGTGTCAACATGGCGTGTCGATAATGTATCATATTTCTGAGACAGTTCTTCCATTTGAGGGTAATGGGTGCCCATCAATTTTGAAACAATACGTTCACATGTCAGGTGCTCTATGGATTGGCTTATCGTAAAATTGGGGCAGGGATGGCGACATTTGTTGAGCGACACCACTCTCAAATAGTGTCCAATCGAGATATGCCCTGATAAGGAAGTATCGATGGATCAAGGCTTACTCTCTTCCACCCGTAAACAGTCATTGGTGATCATATCTCTCAAAGATATCACAAAATTGCTGCGCGCGGGATAGTGTCGCCTTCTCACATGGGTTGAGGGGATTGCGATAACGGATAACGACATTGCTCATGTTAAAGGCATCATGTGAAGTCAAAGTAGAGACTAGTGATGACCCCTGGAATTTTCAACTGGTTGAGGATCTCATAGCTGAGGAATAAGTCAACGGTCATGAGTAACAATTAAGAAGATGATGGGATCTAAAGAAATCTAATAGTGTTCATTTTGTTTTGGCAATTTGAAGGCTACTGAAACTGTCGAAGCGCTTTGTTCGATTTCAAGCGTAACAGGGCAACAGCGATAACATCAGTAAAGTACAATACAAGGAGCGACAGCGCCCTTTCTATGTGGCGGACGACGACGTAACCTTTCACGTGAAGTAAGCAGAGTCCATCACGAAAGAAATTCGTGTCAAATGAGCCGTCCAGGACAAGGGTTACGCGATGAGGGCTCGCGCCTGTCTTCTGCTCTGCACATTCGCGAGCCAATTGGCCATTTGGGATTTTCCTCGCGATCCGACTTCGAAGAGCATCCAAAAGGTCAGTCTCAGTCTGCCATTAAGCTGTTACTGTACAAACTACCCAAGGTACCCCGAAATATCCTTAGTGAACAGTACTACGTAGCGTCGTACCTCAGCATCGGAGTCTCTGAGACTGATCAGAATCATGTGGTTCTATGGCCAAGGACAATTACGGTAGGGAAAACCCCAGCTGCCAATAGAACCATGGTACGACCAACAACTTCCTCGAGCTGTTTAGGGCAATTTGCGACTCAACTGATGAGTCCCGCAAATATGCTTCTCTCACATTCTACATACGTAACGAGACCAAACTGCCCCAATTAAAAATAGGAAAATAATATACACAAGCCAAAAAGAGGATTATATCGGAAGGCTTTATTTCGGTAGAGGTTGTCTATTCGGACCACAACGATGAGGAGAAAAAACTTTTCTGTCCCCAAGAGGACATAAGACACAAGTGCTCAGGAGGTCTGGACTCGCGTTTACGTTATTACTCTTGTTTCCTTCGGTCAAGCTCCTTTTTTCTCTGGCCACTTACCTTATGCACAGGAGAAAAAAATTTTCCTTTGGCCGACTACGATGAGAATTGGCTCTATCACCGGAGTGCTCTCCTGAGCACCTAAGGGGTCTCCAAGGCACCTGGTTGGAGTAAGGTTAAGACGTCTAAAACAAGCCCCAGCCTGCCAGTCAGCTGTCGTGACGAAGGGGCCCTTCGTTCAATTCACGGGGGAGACCATGCGACAGAAGTTACAGGGGCCTTTTCCTGGTTGAGGCAGACAGGCGAGGTCCTGATTTTCTCTCCGTTTCCTTTCTGCGCCCCCCTTGGGTCTGTTCCCCCTTCCCTCTACTTGGCCGGTGGACGAGGCCCAGTAGAGACCAAGAACGGCTTTGAAAGCTCGCCCCAAAAGCGGCTAGCAGGGAGGCTTTGCCGGCGCTGTATAAAGTATGCTTCCCAGCTTGCGCAGCTCCCCTCGGGCCAGTTCGTTGTGTCGCAGATGATCCACTTGGACAACCGCCTTGGCATGTAGCATTAATTAATTAGCCCGACGCTGGTTGGATGCCTAGGTTTCTGTGGAATTGGTTTAGGTGGCATATGGGATGTACACAAGTACTTTCACTTTTGAGACCGCTCAAGAGTCAGTTCGTATATTAAAAGAAAGAAACGTCCGCAAGTGACGAACAGGAGAGGAAAGGGGAAGAGTGTTATAATCTAGCGCGAATCTTGTTTGTTTAGAGTCGTTTTATGGCCAGCGTTTAGGGGAATTGAGCACGCTACAACTACCGTCCAAGCCTTGCCATCTGTCCCTGGGTACTACGGTACGTCAGTGACACGTGCAGGGATGATATCCGTCTCGAGTGTGGTCTTCGAGATGGGATGAAGATCTTAATGATTTTATGAGGACCCTCAGGGCATCCCTATCGAATGGAATTACTCGCCGACGTCTACGTGCTTCAACGGCGGTTATGGAGCGTTGCAGGTATAGTACTAGTAGGTTTCCTTGGCGGTGACAAAGGCATCAAGTTGGGGGATGTGCTGCGTCACTGGGGCAGCATGGAGCGATGCTTGGAAAGGGAGAGAGGGCGGTGGGGACGATTCTTCTTTGGGGCATGCGCCCACAGGAAAGGAGGGTGATAGATGAATGAAACGAAATAAACCAATCCGCGTAGTGGGATCGCCATTCATTCCCACCCTCCCCTCGTCTGAGAAGTCGTCGTGAATTGGATTTTACCTGAATTTTCAGTCCACAAGAGGGTACCACTACAGAATACTTGTGCATGTAGTATACTCTAATTGCTGGCCTAGAGAGGTGGAGCTCTCTACCTTAATCTCCCGCGTCGCGCTGGTGGGCTCGCTTGGGCGCTAGGAGCCAGACCGGACAGTTTACCTTCATGCCTAGCGCCCTCTCAAAGCTCCTGCCAGGCTGCTACCCACGCAAAGCTCTGATGCAGGGCACTTACCGTTCTTGATCTTTTGCGGAACGAACGAACGTGACTGACTTTTGCTTCCCCTTCCCCGATTGCTCGCCCATTTGTTGTGTCGCGCAAAGCCCCTACCACCATCAGGCGCTCTCCCATACAAAGCCCTTCTGCTGTTGTACCACCTGCCACTCCTTCTCTCTCTTTCTCTCTCTCTCTCTCTCTCTCTTTTTTCCCTCTTCTTCTTTTTAACCCTCCCTACAATTTTCCTTATCCTTGTATTTTCTTCTTCCGCCGCTTTGCTGCATCTTTTATTTTGATCTCTGCTCTGCCCTGGTTTCCGCAACAAGGGTAACAGTATACCTGTCTTGGAGATACCGACCTTTATATCTTGACAAAGGAAATTTTTGGGATACCCATTTTCCTCTCACGATCCTTGTGTCATCATTTCTCGGACGTGTCCACCGCCGTCGAGTTTCACCTTGACGACTTTTCGAACAAGTAATCATCATGTCTGAGGTCACCAAGCCCGTTGAAGAGACTCCTGTCGCTGCTCCTGCAGTCGCCGAGCCAGCACCCGCTGCTGAGCCTGCTGCTCTGACGGAGAGCAAGCCCGAGGCTGTGGCTGATACTGCCGCTGCCCCCGAAACAACTGCTGCTGAAGCGCCTGCTGGAGAGACTGCTGCGGCGGAGCCTGCAAAGGAGACTGAGACCACCAAGGCTGAATCTGAGCCTATTACAGAGGGAAAGCTGGGTTACAAGGCCCCTGGCCTCGTCAAGTATGAATACAATTGTATTACCCATGGCGCTGGCACCAGTTTGCTAACCCTCATCTGCGTTGTAGGAGCCTAATCTTTTCGAAACGTTTCTTCTGGTTTGGCGACGAGGCTGTTTCCCCTCAGAACCTTCACAGCTATCTCCGCGGAGAGAAGCCCGAGGTTGCCCACCACAATGCTGCCTGGTCAAGCCAGACCGGCAAGGGCCTCCTCTTTTTCACCAAGCACGCTGACTCCAAGGCCAGTCCTGCCGGCGTCATCAACCTTGTAAGGCTGCCAAATACCCAATAAATTTTGACTCTTGACACGGAGCTTCTAACTGGTTTTCTTTACAGGCCGATGTCTCTGATGTCACCAAGGAAGGCCCCAATGAGTTCCATCTCAGACTCCATGGCCACAAGCACACTTTCCAGGCCGCTACTTCTGCTGAGCGTGATAGCTGGGTTTCCGCTATTGAGGCTAAGTCGGCTGAGGCTAAGACTTCTGTCGACAGCGTGACTGGCAGCGCAGGCTACAAGGAGCAAATTGAGAAGCTCAGTAAGTACTGCGTACAATCTGGTGCGCCAATCGATCGTCAATAGCTCATGTATCTCTTTAGGCAAGCCCACCGCCGCCGTTGGCGCGGCCGCTGCCGCTACAAAGGCGGAATCGTCCACTCCTCGCAAGAGCACCGATGCGAAGGAGCAAGAGGGCGTGAAGAAGGACAATGCTTCAACCAGCAGCAGCTCTTCCGAGGACGCCGAAGGAGCCAAGAAGAAGAAGCAGAAGAGCCGCTCCGTCTCCCGCAAGCGGGGAAGCATTTTCGGCGCCATCCTGAACAAGAAGGATGAGGTCGAGGAAAAGAAGGAGGAAAAGAAGGAAGAAAAGGCTGAGGCGAAGGCTGAGAAAAAGGCCGAAAAGGAGGAAAAGAAGGAAGAGAAGGCTGAGGAGAAGGCGGAAGAGAAGGCTGAAAAGAAGGAGGAGCGGGAGGGCGCGAAGTCTGTTGAGCCTGCTCCCCTCGATGCCCCCGCAGTTGGTAAGCTTTGATATTCTTGTTCAATTTGGTTCTTTCATAAGAATTATCTGGCCTAATCGACGAATCTTTAGCTGCCCGCGCTGTTGGCGAGCCCGTTGTCCCTGCCGAGGAATCCAAGAAGGAGACCGCTGCTGAGGCTCAGTCGGCTGAGGCTGTCCCTGCCAGTCGCGAGAACGCTCCCAAGCCCTCTAAGCGGGCATCCCTTTTCGGCTCTCTCTTCCAGAAGAAGGAGGCCGAGAAGAAGGAAGCTGCAAGTCCCGCAGAGGAGAAGAAGGCCGAGGAAGTCGCACCTGCTGTTCCTGCCAAGGACATTGAGGAACCCAAGGAGACGCCGGCCCCAGCGACTACCGAGGAGACCGCGGCTGAAGTCCCGCCTGCTGCTCCCCCAAAGGACGCCGCCGCTGAGCCTGCCACTACTGCCAGTCCTGCAGCTGGTGTCACCCCCACCAAGGAAAAGGAGAACTTCTTTGGAAAGTTCTTGAAGAAGGTTCGTCCGATTATTTGCGCAACTCCTGTACAAAATGTATGAGCAAAACTGACTTCAAGTAGGAGAAGAAGGAGGAACAGGTCGCTGCTCCCGCTGCCATCGCTGAGGAGGCTCCTGCCGCCCCCACCACCAACGGCGAGACCACCGAGACTGTTGAAGCTCCTGCCGCGGCGTCCGCCACCCCTGCTGCCGCCGAGCCTGCCAAGGAAGTCAAGGACAAGCGTCGCTCTTCCTTTTTCGGTAATCTTGGCACCAAAAAGGAGAAGAAGGCCGACGTTCCTTCTGACTCTGAAGCCGTCGAAGGCGAGAGCAAGCAGAAGACTGCTTCATTGCCTAAGATTGGTGATCTTTTCCGTAAGCCTAGCCGCGCTGTGAAGGGGCAGAAGGAGACCAAGAAGGAAGTCTCCAGCCCCGCTACTGTTGAGGAGGGCAATGAAGTGCCCACCACAGAGACCGCAGGCAAGGCTGCCGCTCCTGCTACGGAAACTCCGGCCGCCACCGAACAGCCTGCCGCCTCTCTGCCCGCGACCACGGAACCTGCTACCAACGGCACCTCTGCCGAGTTGGCCCCTGAGCCCGCTGCAGTCGCCAAGGAGCAGAGTCCTGCTCCCGTTCAGGCTGCCGCTTAAATTAAACTTTTGGGATGATCAAGATGACGACATTACGAAAAGGATGACTCGTAAAGAAAAAGTTCTATTTTGAACGTCATTTTGGCTGTCATTTCAAATTGCCGGCCGCCTTGAATTCGGTTTGACACTCCAGATGCGTGCGTATCTGATGCGCTGATTGTTTTCTGCGAATGGATAAGTATGCATCGAGCTTGGGTCGAGCATTCGCCTTTTGGTGTTTTGTTGGACTTGGTCTTGATACGACCTTCTCTTGTCGATTCACTCGTTGGTCGCAGACGTACACCCAACGAGACCTACTTGTGTTTAGTTCTTTTCTTGTTCGCTTCCAGACTGATACCACATCCTTCTTTGTTGTTTCAACCTTTTTCGATTGGTATATTCCTTCGTTTTCTCCTCCCTTGAGTTTCCGCGTCCCCTGATACCCTGTGTATTCCTTATAAGGTTCCGCACAAGCGGCCACTAGGGCTTTAACCGAACCTAATAACCTAATAGAATATTATTTTGATTTCCAAGTATTTTTTTTAACACAAGATTATGAGATTGTGAGTCTTTTTAAACGTTGGAATTCGCCAGACCAGAGGCAAGGCTCGTCGTGAGTCGATACTCTCGGCTTTAACTCGGACAGCGCGTTAAAAAGATATTCTGAGCGACCGGATTGTACTGCGACGCTTAGCCGATTACGGTAGGCTATTATTGGAACAAGGGAGCTACCGAGCATCAGCGCTGTCGCTGTCGCTTCTGGAGAACGCCTTTATCCGACCCGAAAAGAGACGCCTCTAAGGCGGCCGAGGCGGCCCAATTCAGCCCGCCGCACTCGGAGAGTGGGACCTCGCTGCGAACGCCGGGCTGGGACTGAGTTGAGGCATATCGAAGTACTGGACCCTGAACCCAAAGCGAAAGAGGGTCGCGATTTATCTACCACCAAAGTATGTGAGTCTGAGTGAGATGATTGAGGAGTAGCCTGTTCCTTTACGCCTCTTAGATTCGTGTTCTTTCACTGTTCAATTGCAACGCTCGTTCAAGATTTCGAGGCCCCGTACCCAAATAACACTGAACAGGCCTAGTTACACTCTTTTGCAATCCGCCACTCTATCCTTCACTTCAGCTATTCTCTGAGCATTCACTTCAGTTCACTCGTTTCGTTTGCCAAGCAGCTTGCGGCTTGGACTTCTCACCACTGATATCCGCCCGTCCATTAGGATTGAATTCTGGTGGCTTTCGAGTTTGAACACAATAAAGCGATTTCGCATTGTGGTTTTGGATTGATTGAACACTCTCGTCTTCTTAGACACTTCCTCTGAGCTTTCATTTAGCTCAGCTTTTCGAAAATTGTATCGCTCTGGTCTCTTTGCTTCCCTGCCCCAGATTTCCTGTGATAGACAAGCTCTCTCTGGGTTTCCTGATTTGCGACAACTATATTAAATTGTGGAGGAAAGTGTCTCGTCTTTGTGAGATCGCGCACGATTGTGCACCATGAAAAATGGTATGTTCGTTCTTCGTCGTGTCATGCACGCAAGCCTTTATTTTCCCGTGGTCTATAATACTCAACCATTCACAGGGCTGCTGTCAATCCTCCCCCCGGCGCAATAGCTTGTCAAGCCGCTTTGCTCCTGCGCCAAGAGTTCACGGTGAATCAAGCAATGCTATCTCTGCCGATGCCGCAAATGTAGCCGTTCTTCCCGTCGAATCCCACCGTCGGCGATCGACAACTCTCGGAGAACAGGCAAACCGGCCTCTAAGACGGCACGTCTGGACGAGCAAACGACCTTGGTCCAGGCCAGATTTGGAACTTGAAAGGCAGGAATTCTTTGATACACGGGTCACGGGTCAGCCGGATATCTGGAGAGCTCTACGAATGGCCATCGAGATTATGCCCACGGAGCTAGACACCGCTCAAGGTATCCTCGACGCTGCCGGAATCACACTACCCACAGGTGACTTAGCCGACGGGGCATACGACGAACGTGGAAACCTCTATCAGATGCCAGAACATGTTGTTGTGGACCCTGTCAATCTTGTCTCTGATATGGAGAAGACTAGCGCACGAGTAGCCAAGGCTGACGCGGAGACTGTTGAAGAGAGTGACGCGCTGAGTGGAAAGCAGGAAGAGAAAGGGGAAACGGCAGGAACCTACACCGTCAGGGCCAGATTGAGCGACCGCGGTGGACGAGACGTCCTGGTGACGTTGACCAAGGAACAGAAAGTCGAAGCATTGGCGAAGAAGATCCAAGAGGAAGCTCAGGTAAGTTTAGCCACAATTAGAGTCTGCCTTCGTTCTAGAGCCTTTGTGTCCTAATTTTTCGATGGTTAGCTGCACGACAAAGTCAAAGTAAGGATCGCCTACATGGGCCATATCCTGAAAGAAGGGCGGACCTTGTACGAACAAGGATGGAAGGATGGCCACGTTGTCAATGCATTGGTCTCACAGTAGGAGATGTTTGAAAGCTTAGGGGTCCACTGTTCCGCCTGTCTATTGTGCACTTGAGCGTTGCATGTGTGGGGTTTTGGGATTTCTCGGCGTGATACCAGTGCTACGTTGTCACCCTTTTTATTTTATTTTATCTTTTTTTTTTTTTCCTTTTCCTTTCAATCTGCTGCCCGGGTTCCAGAGCTATCTACGTCAGCTTTTCCTTTCTATATTGCTCCTTTTTTCTGTAGTCCTTGATTTGATTTCGTTTCCCTTTCGACACGAGATCGAACATGCATTTTTCATCATTTTTCATCATTATCTGGTGTATTCTCTTCTCTGATTCCACTCTAAGTCTGGTCTTGTCGTTGTGTATCTATACCATATTGGACATATACCTACTTTAGCACTGGCCAGTGGAGACGCCTTTTTTTTTTTTTTTTTTTTTTTTTTTGCCGTAAACACGCAAGTAACTACCTTACATATGAAAATCCCTACTTTCCTATCCAATTAAGGGCAGATTCCCGGAGTGTGAGCCTATATAAATGCTACGAATGGAAAAACGCATATTGCTTAGCTTGGGGGGATTTCTGCTGTTTCGAATATTTCTATTCGTGTCGTACAAAGTGGGGCAACTTTTGACGTTTGGTTAAGGAGTCCTCGTGTTGTGTCCGTCAGTATAGTACCTGCCTAGGTAGTCGCTATTAATATCGCATGTAAAAGGGTCGTGCGGCCCACGTAATTAATGTTTTGGTTCTTCAACGTCTCTCGCTAACTCACGTCTAGCAGACTAGCAAAGCGTAGCGATCCCCTCGGGTTTGGATAAGCTTCGTCCCTGGATGAACTACAATTAATTATTGCGCTTGTTGACAGTCTGCCATATTCGCTCTGCTTATCACAATTGACAGCACCTGCACCGATCTGCTGTCTCAATGCCCCTATACGACAGATACGATTACCCATGAATGATTTGAACAGTCGTTAATGGTGTGTATGGACTTTCTGGATTGATGATCTGTGCAGGCTGCCGCCTTGTTTGGCCCCTAACTGCTCGGCGTTGAAGTAACAAGCCTCCTCTCGAGGCACTTCAGCCAGCTGCATCCGGTGCACATCCCCGATTCTGGGTTGCAATTACGAATGGCTTCCAATTCGCATGCCCAAGGGGACCCGTCAACTCCGCAATCAATCCCTCTTCGCGATCTGACGCGGCCGGCAGAACCTGAAGACGTCACTGGACAATCCTCGCATCGAAGAACTGGAAGTGCAAGGATAAGGAGCCTTCTGAGGAGCAGAGACTCACACGGTCACCGGCCATTCAGCAGAGGGTACGCCAGAGTTGAAGGGTCTCCAAGTCCGCCGATAAGGACACGACACCCATCTCCGCCGCGACTTGTAGTTCCATCGAATACCGACGCAACACCGTACGATGATGACATTGACGGTACAGATGAGGCATCGCTGGAGGATCGGATGGGATTTCAAGCAGCGACAGCGGGCTTAAGCTTCCAGGCTCCCTCGTCGACGCTGCGACTTCCCTCTTTCGATAGTGTGCGTGGTGGAGACAGCCTGGACGTGACACATGCCCTCGACTACGAGGGCATATCGCCGCTTTCGCCCGCGCCGCATAGCCCCCATTATGACAATAACGCAGACTACTTTACTTCGACTGATGCAGATACGACACCCTTAACGAACAATACACATTTACAACCTATCAGCGGCGCAGGGCCGTCCACCCCTCGACGACAGTCGCGGGACCGGACAAGCTTCCAGACTATCCACTTCACAACTCCAGATTCCCACTCTCCTGGTTCGAGATTGGGTGATGATCTTCCCAATGTCGAGGCCGGCTTGGGCAGTGGGTCGAATGGAAGCAGGGTTGGAAGATCCGGCTCCAGCGCTCGGTCACGGTCCTTGTCTCCAGCATCTGCCGGATCACCATTACACCGAGCTGGTTCCATTGTTCGCAAGATGTCGCAGCGAGTCGTCAACCTCAGTAATGAGCCGGAGATAGTCGAACAAAGCATTGCAAAGAAATCCGTTGACGAGTCGTCGCGCCTTGACGGCCCTCCTTCTTTGCCGGCTATGACTGATTACGCGCATGATGAGCCAGTGCCGCCTCTTTCGCCCATTGAAAAGGCTCCACCGTTAGCTTTTATCGGTAGAGCGCGGCATGAGTATGAGCAGCAAGCAAATCCGCTCAAAGGCAAGTCGCTGGGGATATTTTCCCCTGACAATAAGCTGAGGATGAAGCTTTGCGACGTCTTGGTTCATCCTTTTACGGAGCCTTTCATTCTCATATTAATCATTTTCCAAACGATTCTTCTAGTTGTGGATTCTGCGCCGAGTGTTTGGCATGATCCTAGATCCATGCGCTGGGGTTCTTCCTGGATAGATTATGCTTTACTTGCGCTTTTCGTCATTTACACGCTGGAAATCATGGCCAGGATGATCGTATCTGGGTTCATTTTGAACCCTGTCGAATACAGCACACTCAATCGCCAGCTCGGTTTCAAGAATGCGGTAATAGAAAAGGGTCGGGACCTGATAGCACCGCACCGACAGCCGTCGAAGACGAAACAGCAGGCCCCACTTGACCCTCAGCCTTCACTGCTCCGGAGTTTCACTGGCAATCAGGCACAGATTCAAAACCCAAACCATAGCAGACAGCAGCAGCGCGTGAGACTTGCGCACCGTGCATTTCTTCGTCATTCTTTCAACAGGCTTGACTTCGTTGCTGTGGTCTCTTTCTGGATCTCTTTCTGCCTTGGCGTAGCTGGGATTGAATGGACCAGACAGATGTACGTATTTCGGATGATGAGCTGCCTTCGCATCCTAAGATTACTCGGTATTACAAGCGGCACGTCGGTATGGCTCCCCCCTCCCCCTTCTTCGACTCATAATACCGTTTCAAATTACTCATTAGTCTAGGTGATTTTACGAAGTCTGAAAAAGGCTGCACCATTGCTGGTCAATGTGGCCTTTTTGATTGGCTTTTTCTGGCTTCTTTTTGCAATCGTAGGGGTTCAAAGTTTCAAGTCGAGTCTCCGTCGAGGGTGTGTCTGGGTGGATCCTGAAGGCATCCAGGCCAACTACTCGCTCAATGACTCAGGCGATTACCAATTTTGTGGCGGCTACCTCGACAATACAACGGGCCTGGCGCTTCCCTGGATTTTTCCCGACGGCACACCGGGAACAGGAAAGCACAAAGGCTATCTGTGCCCACAAAACTCCTACTGCGTTCAACAAGACAATCCATATAGTGGCACAGTCAGCTTCGATAATATCCTCCAATCTCTAGAAATGATTTTTGTCATAATGACTTCGAATACCTTTACCGATATAATGTATTATACAACCGACAGTGACTTCCTTGCCGCTGCTATATGTGAGTCGTTATTTCCCCCCTAATCTGAAGGACTCTCGCTTTTACTAAACTGATTTGTAGTCTTTGCTGCTGGCATCATCATTCTCAGCCTTTGGCTTATGAATTTGGTAAGACTTGAAGCCCTGCTTTTTTGAGGAGTACAAGCTTACGATATCAGCTTGTTGCAGTAATCACGTCCTCATTTCAAGTCATTCGGGAGGAGAGTAAGAGGAGTGCCTTTACGGCCGAGAAAACTATAAAGTACGTGGAAATTATTACCTATCATACGTGAAAGCTGCGGACATTGCTGACCTTCCTGCAGCAGCCAGTCGACACTTGAATCAGAGCCAACGCGACGAATAGGGACTTTAAAGCGGCTCTATGAAAAGTCGTCTGCTTTTTGGGTTCTTGTTATTGCGTTTGACATGGTCTGCATGTGCTTTCGAAGCGCAGATATGTCAGATACACGGGAGCTATTCATTGGTAAGAAACCATCGTTTGAGTGTACATTTTCTGAAGGCCAGCTAACGTGTTCTTCTAGATGCTTGTGAGACTATAATAACTCTCATGCTTTTGGTCGAAATCTTCTTCAGATTTGCAGCAGACTGGCGCAACTTTTTCAAAAGCAAACGGAATATGGTGGACTTGGGACTTGCAGTCGTTACCACTATCATTCAGATTCCCGTCATTCATAATTCGGGCAGGCCATACGCATGGCTCACAATATTCCAGATATTGCGCATCTATCGGGTTGTATTGGCAGTTGGAATAACGAGAAGACTCATTGTAAGTTATGAAAATCCAGTGGACGAATAGAGTATCTGCTGACTTCTATGGTCAGCTTGTTGTCTTCCGAAATGTCAAGGGTCTAATCAACTTAATTATTTTCGTGTTCCTCATTACATTTCTCGCCGCAATCTTTGCCGTCCAGCTTTTCCGAGGTGAGATTCCTGCTGAGGACGATGGTGGTGACACGATACGCATAACTTTCAGTAATATCTACAATGCGTTTATTGGAATGTATCAAATACTTTCCAGTGAAAACTGGACTGAAATTCTCTATGATGTCACTGCGTACGATGTTCATTTTAACACCGCCTGGATTGGGGCTGCGTTCCTTATCATGTGGTACATTCTTGCAAATTGTAAGTTATTGTTGTATCCTCTTCATTAAGCGGAAAGACTTACGTCTCTAGTCATTGTTTTGAACATGTTCATTGCTGTCATTCAAGAAAATTTTGATGTCAGTGAGGACGAGAAGCGAATGCAGCAAGTCAAGACATTTCTGCAGCGCAAGGATTTGCATGGATCAAATCATGGGTAAGATATGTGTCTTGATCTCAAGATTCGAAATGCAAGCTAATTGGCAAAGTAATCTGTCTTTATCCACCATCTTCCGTTTTGGACGGTCGGGCGGACGCCGCCGGCCGATGGAATTCGGAAAAGCTACAATGGAAATGCTCCTAAAGGATGCCGTCGTCAGAGACTTTCTAGACGATACTATCGAGCTAGGCGACGACGGGGCCGTTGATGAGCCTCCTAACAGCATGGAGTCTGCTCAGCCAGAGGAGAAGCGTGGTTGCTTTGGAAGAGTTAAACAATTTTTTCAATCTCTTCGAAACCGAGAAATCAATCCATTCTACTCACGTTTACAGTTCTCCAAGGCCTATGATGAGCTCGACCCCCGAACTATGGCAAAGGAGGTCGTTTCGGCTACGGAACGGCAGAAGCGCGCGCAGAGAGAGTACCTGGTGCGTCATCCGACATACAATGTTTCGCTGTTCATTTTCAAGCCATCAAATCCTGTTCGTAGGTTCTGTCAGCGCATTGTGGGTCCGGCCCGAGGTGATCATCGTGTCGAGGGTGTCGAACCAATCAAGCCAGTGTGGTATGCATTCTCTGCTTTCATTTACGCCGCAATTGTTGCCATGGTTCTGCTCGCCTGCGTCACAACGCCACTCTATCAACGAGAATACTTTTTGTACAACCAATATAGCGTCAAGAATTGGTTTGTGTTCACAGATATGGGTTTCGCTGCACTGTTTACTCTTGAAGCTTTAATCAAGGTCATCGCCGATGGCTTCTTCTGGACACCAAATGCATATTTCAGAGGCTCATGGGGTTTCATCGATGGTGTCGTGCTGGTGACCCTGTGGATTAACGTTGCTACGTCCCTTTACAGCGAGGGCTCAGTATCAAGAGCAGTAGGAGCTTTCAAAGCATTAAGAGCTTTGAGATTGTTGAACGTTAGTGATAGCGCTCGCGATCTGTTCCATGCCGTCATCATCCGAGGTGGAACAAAGGTCATTTCGGTAAGTTTGCCTCCTCTTCTTTTATCGCCGAAGATTCATGTAACTAATTTTACCAAGGCGATGTTTGTGTCTCTGAGTTTGTTGATTCCATTTGCCATCTACGGCTTGAATCTCTTCAATGGCCAAATGTTTCAATGCAATGATGGTAATTCAGACTTAGTCAACCTGACAGACTGCGTCAACGAATTCATGAGTTCGCCTTACGCGTGGGACGTTTTGGCGCCTCGTCAAGTTTCCAATCCATATTACAGCTTTGACAACTTCGGTGAAGCACTCTTCATTCTCTTCCAGATTGTCTCGCAGGAAGGATGGGTGGACGTAATGTGGAGCGCAACGGACATGGCCGGGATAAACAAGCAGCCTCAACCATTTGCTTCGCAAGGAAACGCAATCTTCTTTGTAATATTCAATTTGCTTGGAGCAGTCTTCGTTCTGACCCTCTTCGTGTCTGTCTTTATGCGGAATTACACAGAAGAGACAGGCGTCGCCTTTTTGACCGCGGATCAACGAGCTTGGCTTGAGCTGCGCAAGCGACTCCGACAAATTTCGCCGTCGAAACGTCCAACAAATATGCCGGAACAGTCATGGCGGCATTGGTGTTACCGTCACGCAGTGAAAAAGCACGGCCGCTGGCAGAAGTTTATTACCGGTGTCTTGATACTACATTTGCTTCTCCTGATAATTGAGTTTTACCCTGGTGTGACATGGTGGGAGACTGTCAGAGGTAATTGATATTCGTCAAAAAGTGCGCAAATAATGCATTGCTAATGAAATATAGATATCATATTCCTGGTTTTTACCATATTCTATCTTTTTAACATTATCATTCGAGTCGTCGGACTTTCCTGGTCACGCTTTCGGAAGAGCGCTTGGGATCTGTATTCAATCTTTGCAGTATTCGGAACCTTTGTGACAACTGGTCTGCTGCTAGCGAGTTTCCAGGAGACCACTTACGTTCAGCTTCACAAGTTGTTCCTTGTGTCCATTGCGCTTCTTCTGATTCCGCGAAACAATTCGCTAGACCAGCTCTTCAAAACTGCTGCAGCAAGTCTAGGCGCGATCGGTAATCTCTTGGCCACTTGGTTTGTTCTTTTCCTGGCATTTGCTATCGCTCTTACACAGACCTTTGGCCTCACACGGTTTGGTGAGAACGAAAACGGAAACATCAATTTTCGTACCGTTCCCAAAGCACTGATCTTGTTGTTCCGCACAAGTTGCGGTGAAGGGTGGAACCAGATCATGGAAGACTACGCAACCATGACTGAACCTACTTGTGTTCCAGATCATGATTTCTTTGAAAGTGATTGCGGTAGCCCGGCATGGGCTCGAGTTCTCTTCATTACTTGGAACATTCTCAGCATGTACATTTTCGTCAGCTTGTTCGTGTCTCTCATTTACGAAAGCTTCAGTTATGTCTACCAGCGAAGCAGTGGACTTTCAAAAATAACTCGCGGAGAAGTCCGAAGATTCAAGCAAGCCTGGGCAATGTTTGACCCTAAGGGTACGGGCTTCATCTCAAAAGAAGCCTTTCCCCGACTTTTAGGCGTACGTTTTAGTTTTGCTTCTCTTTGCATTATCAGTTGAAAAATTGTTGCTTACTCCCATCAGGAACTCTCCGGTGTTTTCGAAATGCGTATCTACGACGGTGACTTTACTGTCAGGCGATTGCTCGAAGATTGTAAAGTGCCTCGTGGAAACAAAGAATTCGTGGATTTAACCGACGGCCTCGACCTCAAAATGTTGGCACGCAAGCTCTCCAAGCTTCCCGTGGATGAAATTCGTCGGAGGCGACTGCAAATGAATACATTTTATGAGGAAATGCTTGTATCCGCAGATCCCGATCGAGGACTATCGTTTACTCAAGTGTTGATGACCATTACTCATTACAAGGTCATTAATGACAACAAGAGCTTAAGGTAAGTACGCTCTCAAACACATATTTGGTGATTAAAGAACCCTTGCTGAGTTCAATCAATAGACTGGAGGAGTTTCTCCGCCGCCGTGCCCGGCTACAACGAGTGGACGAGGCCGTCCGTCGACATATCGTTATTGGATTCTTCGATACCATCTACTGGTCTCGCCGATTCCGCCACGCCATTGCGTCTCGTCGTTACAGTCGCCTTACGACAGTACCGCAACTCAACGTGCCAGAAATTTTTGTCGACGCCGAAGACGACACAAACGCGCAACGCGAGCAAGCAGAGTATCAATTGTCACAAGGCCAGAGTGAGAGCGCAATGTCTTCGCCTATTGTGTCACCTTCAAACGTCGACTGGTCTCGGCCATTTACCAGCAGCTCGGACGCTGCACAAGCCGCTTCTCAGCCTGGCGCATCCATCCGCGCCCGAGCAAATTCCAGTCCTGCAACAGGCGCTAACGGGAGCGGCAGCGCCGGCGGAGGCAGCGTATATCCGTTTTCTTCACAGGCATCAGGGACGGGTTACTTTGATGGCACATCGTCCCCGACATCTCTCCATGGCGGCCATTTTATTGGTCGAGACGGATCCCTTGACGGCCCACGCAGTCGGGGTGTTGGTCTCAACCTCAGTCTCGACACCAACGTTGGCAGTAACTTCGGCGGAGGAAACTGGAGTCGCCCTTCCAACGACCCCCATAGTCCACGAAGCCCCATCCCTTCAGACCGTGCTCTTTCCATTGTTCCTACGCCTAATGACAGTCGTCGAGGCAGTAATGTTACCGATGTCAGTGCACAGGAAGTACTCGATGTTCTGGACAATTCGATCTGGGGTGAGAGTATTCGGCGGAGTTTTTCAGTGAGGCGGCCGGGTGATCCACCAGTGCCGGAGTAGCTGTTCCCATGAATTACCGCTTGCAATGGCCTTGATTCCATATTTACACCACGTTCAACTTTTTTCCTATCTTGCTTATAGACAAGAATGTTCCTGTTGAGTGGTGTTTCTCCACACCAAAATTTTCTCTTTTCTTTTGTTTCTCTTTTTGCCACGGTATACGGTACTATATCATTCCGCTTGTTCATATTCTCGCTGTTATTATTCGCACAAGGGAAAATGCGGGTCGGCGGAAAACTCAAAGCCATGCAGGACATGTCATGTCGCAGACTCAGAAGGGGAGCTATATATTGCGGCAACGCACTTCCTTTATGCTACGCGAAATCGCGGTGTCTGGAGTATTTTTTGGCGACGGCGATGACTTTCCTTTATTTTGCTGTGGAGTACGAGGAGAAAAATTGAGGAAGAAGGATGAGCAACAGCGACAAGGATGTAAAGGAATATATGAGGAGGATTATAATGCATCAAAGGACTGGCTTTTCGCGGCTATCTGACGCAGTTTTGGGGCGTGGTTTAGTTTTCCATGTCAGAGCATATTTCCTTTTGCTATGTTATAGACTCCCTTTTCTTCCCCCCCCCCCCCCTTTACTATGTCAGCCATGTTCTTTTTGGGGTTTGTGAGGTTACATACTTTCTCTTTCATTTCCTTTTTTAATTTTTTATCGTCCTTCGAAATCTGCGTGGAAATGTTCGAATCGCTTTTTTCTTGCTTGCATTGTTTCTATCTTTCAATTTCCCCGCAGGCATTGTTCAGTTTGACGCATTTCTCATCTTCTGTCGCCATTGCTTTCATGGCTCTTTGGAGCGTAGACTGCTAGTCATCCTGTTAATTCATGACAAGGCGCAGCAATATATGTGCTTTGCTAGAGTTGCTCTCTTATGCTATCTCATTCGCAATCTTTCGCGACCTTCTTAATCTTTATTTTCCTTGCCATCGTCCCTATTTCCTATAAAAAAAAATATCGATCTGGCTTACCCGATAGATGAATATGATCGGCATTATACTCACATGTTCAGTTCCTGGTGACCTGTGATTGATTTTCTTGTGTATTTTTCAAAACTAGAACCCACTGCAATTAACTTTCAAAGGCAAAATGTGGAAAATAAATGTAATGGAAAAAAAAAAAAATAATGAAGGGAAGAAAAGGAAAAAAATTGTCTCGAGGGAGGATCGAACTCCCGATCTCCGGATCGCTCAGCTTGTTTAAATCAAGCTAATCATCGGCGTGATTGGTACCTTTTGATACCAGGCCTATGAGACCGGCGCCCTAACCAACTAGACCATCGAGACGGTGATTGGATGGTGGAAGTGCTCTCAATGTCTTACTCATGCCAAATGATTCTTCGTCGGGCAAACTGTCACTACAAATTCCGGGGACACTCAAGTTTGAATTGTCAGGACGGTTTCTTTTTTTTTTTTTTAATCTTATTTTCTTTATATAATTTTTTTTATCGAAGAGATCAAACAGAAGCAAAAGTGTAAGAGATTCATTAAATGGCTGTGCAAGATGAGTCAATTGGACTAGCGATGATAATTGTTGGCATGGCGAATTGCTTGAGCTCGACCGTGGGAAGTTGGGAATTCCTGGTGCGCGGACTAGCGACGGTGTCAATGGTCGATCGCATGAATGATCTGTGTCATTCTGCATTGTCGGACGAAACCGATCACGATCTATGAGATGAGACTGAATGAATACGAAAACAAGAAAGTCCCTACTCGAAGAATAGGACGGAAGAGGGATACGAAGGGAGTAGAAGCGATAAACTTCTTCAGGCCGCGAAGGCAAAGAGGGAAATCGTCGGGTTCACGTAGCTAGATATGCATAAACAGGTAGACTGGATGGTGTCAGAAACAAAGGAAACATATGGGTGACGAGTTTAATACATGAGCAATGCACATACTACGGAGCAACAGTACGATCAGGTCAAGTCTTCTGACTAATATTCTTAAAGAAGCTGGAATGGGTTTATGTAGAATGGGGTTTGTCTGCGACTAAGCCTATGAGCAGCAAAACTACTTCGAAATTGCTTATCTAAAGACAGGTGGAAGTAGAATTGCTGAGGGAATGAGCTAAATGAAATCCCTGATAGACGTAGTCGAGATTGTGAAGGGGACGTGGGAAAAACACATGGTGACATGATTTGGGGAAGGGGAATTAAGGGAAGCTTTCATTGGGAAGTTGTGAAACAGAAAAGAGTTCGATTTGAAAGAGGAAAGACAAAAGGAAATGTGATGAATGTGATTTTTGAGAACATTATCCAGAGCACAACGTAAGATGTATCTTGAATACATATGCTGTAATACATATCGAGGACACAAAGGATGTCGAAGTGCACCAGAGTAAGTAAAACTTTTGCAGGACAGACGAGAAAGTGATATGCGCTGTTGCTCGAACATAAAAGCAAACCTTGTCAACGCCGCTGTGGTGTAAAAGATCTCAACAAACTTTTAGAAAGGCAACGCTTAACGCTCATATAGCAATGCTTTTGTGAAGAGATATCTAGAAGATAAGACGCCATGCAAGTAACGCTGACTCAATATGCTCCTGAAGAGAAGACGCCGAGTGCGGAGATGAGATTCTTGTTCGTAGTAGTCGTAAATCGTCGTGGGTACATGAAAATAAGTAAAGACTGATGCCAAGTCGCAAGGGAAACGAACTATTATCCAGTCATCCTTGGCTGCATGAGAACTATGCAAAAGCCTAGATGCCTAGAAAATCGCTCTCCCGATACAAGCTAAACTCGACATGTTTAGAACAAATAGCCACGGCACGAGGAAGACTTGCAAAAGCATTGAAGCCTTTCACCCTCATGAGAGCCGTGGGGAATGGTGCTGGAAGCTTCCCGACCGATGTAGTCAAAGGTCAGCTCAGTGTTCTCGGGAATGTCCTTGATTGCAAAGAAGGCAAGCTCATAGAGCGAGGGGCTATAGTGATTCAGTGAGACAGCGTAGATGCGGAGGTTAGGGTCGCAGGAATGATTGATGAATCTGGTGGGTCCTCCGGCAAACTCTCCGTCAATGACATAGAGAGGGTCGTCTTCGCCACGTTCAAACTTGTCGAGCGCGAAGGTGTAAACGTCCTTGAGGACACGCGCTCTATCTCGGCGTTCCGCTTCCTCATCGGTAATGATCTCGCCCTTGTAGGTGTCCACGAACTGCCCCTTTCGAAGATTTTCCGTGCATCGCAACCCTTTTCGGACAACAGTCAGTATACCTCTAGGCAGGTGTGAATGTGGTACAGGTAAGGAAGGATTATGTGGGCGTGATAAAGGACTTTTGGTGAGAGTTGGGAGGCGCAGAGGTGGTCAAGGGAGGTTGTGTGGGGACAAATGAAAAGAGAAACAGAAGAGACAAAACATAATTTGAGCAAAAACTCACCCCATCCGCGATCTTCAGTTGGAAAAATCTCCAGCGGAACCTTTCTGCCATGCTGGACAACACGGTTCTTGCAGCCAGGCCCACAGTTACAGAATTTATTACATTCAAAAATGGCTGCAGAAGACCTCAGCTGCTTGGGCACCAGGAAGCCTTTGCGCGGACCCTCAGCATAGTACGCATAAAACCGTTCCTGCACGTCCATGTTGGACAGGCAAGAACAGTCTTTCGGGCGCTCACACCCCATGTGGCGTCCACCACTGTTGGGCGTGCAGCTGCAGCCAGCCATTGCAAATTCAGGATAGGGCACCACACCTTTCCCGAAGATGGAGTCCTCGAGAAGATTAAACTTCCTGAATGGGTTCCTGTCCTGTGGCCGAATATACAAGTAAAGCCTTGGCTCCAGATTTCCAACTCGGTAGCGGAACGGGTCGCTGCTCTCAAACGTGAGTGAATTCTGTCCAGACATCCTCGTATTTGGGATTGTGGAAGATTGCTTACCGAGTAGGAATTAGCTCACAAGAAGCGTAGATATTTGAACCCTTCGTGGCGGAACTCGCTTCTGCGCTAGCTGCTGAGTCCGTAGCTTGGGCAACAGCTTGTGTGGCTTGGCCATTCAGCGTGGCGAAAGGATTTGCTTCCGCGGGCGGCGCGGGCGGAATGGGTGCTGACAGTGTCGGAGGCGCGGCGCGTGCGGGAAACGCGGTATATGCAACCGGTCCGGGCAGTGAAGCTGATGCTGGATTGGCCACAGAAGGGACCCATGTCTGCTGTTCAAACTCAGGGACCATTCCATGAGTGCGAATCCAGTATTCCACCAAATGTTGGCGGCAATTGATCAGAAGTGCCTGTTCACTGCGCCAGACGGCGGGGAAATCCTCGATGGAACTTCCGAAGACTGTCAAACGGACAAAATATCGTCTCTGTAAATAGCAAACGAAAGTTAGAGAATGCTGCGTTAAGTTGGCTAGTACAGATTTTGCAAAATGACGCAATGTGGGGAAATTTTCAGGCTGCCAAACCTGTCCTATGGTTTCGAAACAGGGCCGAACATCCTAAATGAAGCCTGAAAACATGCAACTGAGGGAATCGGAAATTGAGAAGACTCATATATGCATAGAATAACCAGCAAACAAATTGCTTTAGGTACAGAGTATAGCTGAGTGTAGCTATGCATCCAGCCGGAACCGAGATTCTGGAACAAGAGTAGACTTACACCATCCTCAGCTTCAACGTGGTCCAGGATTTTGTCAACCTGAAGTTAAAAAATAGCTATTAGATGATTCCAAGCATTATTGCAGATATAAAACTGACATCTTCTTGTAAAAGGTTGATAAGTATCTGAAGTTCAGGATTCTCTACCCAGACCTCGATCTTTGCACTCTTGACTACCTGTAGTAAAGCTTAGTAGGCACCTCTTAAGATTGTCTTTAATCGAGATCCTGTAAAGAAAAGTCGAGACAACTATGACATGTTGAATTTGGGCTTGTATACATACCTTGATATCCATTTTGAGTTTCCTGAATTAAAGTTTGAGTAATTTCAGGACTCTGAGATGGATGTACTCAAGAGTAAGGTGCAGGTGTTGATGGTGTCAAGTGTGTAAACAGTAGACAAGACACTTGAATGTGGATAAATTGATGACTAAGCAGCGTAAGCTTCATGTTTTTGAGGCGAATACCAAATCTTATAGAACAGTGTAGGATTTTAACCAATTTGCACAATATAACAATATCCAATTATACGATCAAATCACACAATCTATGCAATCCCATTCTCAGATCATAATGACTACATGTCTTTCAGGCTCCAGGCTTAGCAATTTACACAACCAGACCGCAGTAGAGCAGCAATCAGGTATCGGAGCAAAGAAGTCGACGAATATCTTAGCTCCAAGCCCGCGACAGCCGCGAGAGGGTTCTGCAGGGCGCTAGCAGGTACCTTTGTATCTGCTTGCTGTGACAGACGCCTTGCCGCTTTGCTCCGACAGCTGCAAGCAAAGTGTATTCACTTGACACTGCTGTTGTCTACTAGAAAAATCCAAATTAATATGTTCCGACAGCCAGGCTCGAACTCTCGTTCAAATAATGTGTTAAAATGTAGTCTTGCATCACATCTCTGACAACCAACATGACCAAAGTACCGAGCCTACGACAAAGGTGAGGATGAAACTCGCATATTAAGCTTTGGCTCGGTCGCACAAAAGCCGGGGTCTACGCGATGAGCTTAAATGAACCTCGCCAGACAGCCGTCTTGCCGCTCAGGCCAGCTTTTTCGTCTCTCGCTTCGCTGAGGGAAAGTCTAAGCTGCCAAATTCGGTGACGCCCCACTAAAGTTTTTCCTGCGGGCGCTCAAACTCAAACCCCGGAATCATTGTACGAACAGCGGCCGACGCACAATATGGCAGGAGACGTGCAACAGGCACCTTTTGTGAAGCAGCTTGCTGCCAATGGTACGTTTCCAAAACAGATTCTGAACCCCTTAAAAAGCATTTGCGCATCGTATCAAAACGCACTTGCGCCTTCTTTATCGCGAGCTGACAATGCGACAGACCGTCCCACTCGAGACAAGGCTGTTGCCAGCCTTCGCACATATCTCAGCGGTCGAAAGTCTTTTGAGGAGATTGAACTCCTAAAATTATGGAAGGGTTTATTCTTCTGCATGTGGATGAGTGACCGTCCGAGAACGCAGCAGCAGTTGGCGATTGACCTCGCGGGATTGGTAGATGTATTGCCGGACGAGACTGCGCTGGCTTTCTTAGAGGCATTCTGGAAGACAATGTCGAGAGAATGGACTGGAATTGACGTGCTTCGGTGGGTAGCCTCAAGCACTTACAATCAAATCGAATCAATGATACTAACTCGGAAGGCTCAAGGATGGATAAATTCCTCATGCTAGTCCGTGCCTACCTCAATGCCTCATTCCGTTACTTGGCAAAGATTCGCTGGGAATCCCGCCGAGTCGAGAAATACATGGACATTCTGTCAGAGCTTCCCTTTAATTGCACCGACCCGAAGATACCTAACGGGCTCCGCTTTCATGCCATTGATATCTACGTCGACGAAATCGACAAAGTTGATACGCCGCGGAGTGGAAATATACCCTTGGATCAACTTCTGCAACCTCTGCGGAAGTTGCAAAAGGATTGCCCAACAAAAGTCGTCCGCACAAGGGCAAAGGAGGCATTGTCCGATGAGAGACTGAATGATTGGGAAAATCCTGATTCCAACTCGTTAAGAGATGAGGCAGAGGATGATGCCAGCGATTCCGAATGGGGCGGCATTGACGGGTAGAATGTGGGCATAGAAAAGTTCAAATATTTTCCACTTCAAAAGCGGAGTTCTTGGGACGACCGGCGTTTCTTTACGTTCAGCTAAAACGGCTGGCATCGTACGCTCTTCTATATTTATACTATTTACATATTCTATATACTTGTTTCGTCCATGTCCATCCGTAATGCATTAATAATATCCGTCAATAGGGTATCCAAGACCACGGGTCCAAGCCGAGAGCAGATGAGCTCTCGGCAATAAAACCTGCTGAAAAAGGAAAAGTCGCCATACAGAGACGCCGACATAGCAAATATAATCGCAAATCTTCAAGCAACGCCAGGTGCCTCGTATAAGTTCCCAGATTTTGATAACACAGTGCCTAGTCCCCGGTGCACCTCAGCTTGAAAAGGCTCAAAAGGCACACGCTCACCATCAATGCTGATATAACCATCTTCCTGATCTTTCGGCGATATTCTATAACCCGAAATCTTTTGATATTTGACATGTGGCATGTCAAAAAAGGTCCCTCCTTCAACTGCTAGCAATGTTTTGAGCGCAGACATACGGCCGATATCGCCATCAATACAAATAAGATCAAGGCAGCCGTCATTAGGTAGGGTAGCAGGGAAGAAATTTGCGTCGGCTGCCATATATGCCATGTTACCAGCATAGAAGTTGCCCATTTTGTCGTACGGCACCATCGACCAGCCCTCTGGGAGTTTGTCATTGACAGTCCCATACTTTAACGTAGGCAGTCCATCTCCGATACCCTTGTTATCGCCCTGTCCGGTAAAAGGCCCTCGTTTTGTGCTGATTGGGGCCCGATTGCCGAGCTCCGCACAATACCGCTCTCTAATCGACGCCTTATCATCCAGTTCGACTGCGACAGCAAGGTCACATGGATACACTGTTTGACCAAGAAGCCTAACCAGGAAGCCCCATGTAAATCGCGCACTGCCCATCCACCGAAGATTCTCTGTCCCCAAATCACACTCAGCAACAACGCCAACGGACTGAGACAGAAACGAAAGTGTCCGCCGGCCTCCTTGAGTGATTGATACGAGGTCTAATGGTGTTTTGACTCCCTTAATGACGGACAATGCACACAAGCTTGCGCTATCCGTACCAGCCAGGTTCCAACTCATGGCATTGCCTGAACCGCAGGGAAGTTGAACCACGGCTAACCTTGCAAGTGCTCTTCGTGCATCTGCTCTCTTTCCCAGCCCGTTGAAAACCTCATGCGGAAGGCCATCACCTGAACAACAGGCAATTACATCGTACTTGTTGATGTCGAGAGCCTCCGTAATGGTCACTGCGTGGCCTTGATATTCGGTCTCTTGCACGTCCAATTCGCATCGGGCAGCAGCGAAAATCGGTTTGATCTCTTGAGAGAACAACGTTCGTGCTTTACCTTGGCCACCGAATGGGTTTACTAAAACTTTTATACGCTTCCTTTGCTGGGCTTTTCCATATGCATAGTCAAGAAGTCTTGACACCCATGCCGCCGCCTTTTGCGGCTCTATTTTCTGAATACTATGTCTATAGCTCGCTGCTCGAATCTCGTTCTTTGAGAGTCTTTGTGCATAATGTACGGCGATTTCGTTACCAGCAAGGTCAGCCCAGAGGATGTTGAAAAGGGGAATGGTACGAGTGGCTTTAGCACCTGTAGAATACCATGTCAGCAATGAAAATTTCCTTGTTTTTTCTACTCAGAATATACCATTTGGTAGGATGCCGCAGCAGTTTCGTGCTTCTCTCTTCACAAACCCCTCATCTACAGTTAAATTAGCGTCCACGTTTCAAAGGCTCCTTCAAATAAAGAGAAGTACCGAAAATAATTAGCGCATCTGAGCCTAATGTCAGCGAGGCATTCGCGTCCAATGTTAAAGTTGACTCCGCTGTGAAAACTCGCAAGTCCTCTGCCCCAGTAGAGTCAGCGTGTACGTCGCTGAAGGGATCTCCTTCTAATTGATTTGAAGCGGTCATATTCCGCTCCGACAGGGTGATGTGCTAATAATTGATTAGAAAACGCGTTGCGAAGGTTGAAATAATGCTTTTCTTTACTTCAATAGGATCTCCGTTCTTCATAGCCCTTATTCCATCTGTCCTAACCCTACAAATGGCAGGGTCTTCCAACTGCTGCTCAAGAAGTTGGTCCTTATCCCGTCATATCCACATATCCTGGAAGTTACAGATCCTCAAGCCGGTTATCGCTTACAGCCGAGATCCGACAACGGCAAACAATGCAAACTTGCACCCGCGCACGGTGTCTCGCAAAACAGTGACAGCACAGCACGTCAAGAGTAGTGGATTTAGCAACCGAGCCAGCGCCAACCCCCTCGGCCCAAGTGCTTCTGATAAACCGGTTTGGATAATACGAACAATTACATCTTGACGTTCGCTCTAGCAAAATTTAACTTGTGTATTATTCGATCGTTTTCCCTTAAAAATAAAATGCGCAATAATGATAGACGAAGAGGTTTCGGTTGCCATCGGCTTAAAGGAAAAGCTCAGTCCCCGTTGCGCATTATTTATATGATTTTTTAGTGTGAGTGGACTATGCAGGCACGGGTCGTTATGAGTTGCTCATTTTGCAACCACTGAATATTGAGACACTATCATTCAAAGTCCCAAAAATTACAATGGAATAGAGTACATGCGGAAGCGGGAGGGGAAATGTGAAAAGACTCCGGGAATTAGTACGCCGTTTTCATACAAAGAAAAAAGCAAGCAAAACTAAATGCGATTGCATCACGAATCTCCAAACAGAATCTCTAAGCCTTGTTAAGACCTTTAAGAGAGCCAAGGCTGAGTGCTAGACCTTGGGAGCGGCTTCGAATCCGGACGAAACCAGTCACAGGTCCGTTTTCGCCTTCCTTTTCAATGCTCACGTTTGCAAGAGCGTCCTCTCCTACTCTATGGTTAGCAAGGATATCTGGGTAAAAAA